CCTACTATATATATATATATATATATATATATATATATATATATCTCCTCCTGAATCTAATCTAAAAAAAATTCGAAGAATCGAAATTAAAGCTTATTTCTCAAAATTATCCCCTCGAAATATCATTTGCAGGCCGTCGTTTTGCTCGCCCTGGCGGCCGTCGCTCTCGCCAAACCATTCGAGACGGAGTCGATCGAGGCTGCGAGGGCCGAAGCGGAAGTGGAGGCAGCGCCTCGCGACAAGCGAGGGCTGGTGGTGGGCGCGGCTTACACGGCGCCGCTCGCCTACAGCGCTTACACGGCGCCGATCGCGTACACGTCTGCCTACAGCTACCCTTACGCGGCGTACACCGGCTACCCGTACTACGCCTCCGCCTACTCCGCGCCCTACTACGTCCTCTAGAAACCACCTGCATATTTTGGACGCTCTGACGTAATACCCGACGACTGCACCACGATCCACGACAGCTCCCGCTCTGTCCGTGTCTCGATCGAGGACGCACGAATTTAACTGCGCGGGAGGAGATGCTCTGGGATCGACGAGCGTCTCTTCTTCCCGCGCATTTTTAACTAACAATCGATGAGCATATTATATACAGATGTAAATTTTCTGCACCATGTTAATAAAGTTCATTGCAAAGTAAATGGCGTTTGTTTTGTTTTTGAAAATTGGAGTTTTTTATTTTCATTTAAATCAAAGAAAATTATATTATATTATTTATAGACTTTGTGTCTGTGCGATTTTCACTCGTTTCTGAAATTAAGTAAGAGTTTGGAAATTTGGTGATATTTTGGTAACGAAGTGGTGAAGTTGTTGTTGTTGTTGAGGAAAGGACGCTGACTTTTTCATATAATAAGTGGATAAGTAATTATGCGGAAGAAGGATTATTTTTTATTGAAAAGCGAAGACAAAATTCACTTTCATATCTTTTCCATCGTGTAAATGAATGAATGAATAATTAAAAATGATATTAAAAAGAAGCTCTTAGATTGTTAAAATTATTTAGAGTAGAGTAAATTTTTTTTTTATTTTCCTTCGATTTATATACAAAGATATAACATTTATTTTCTGAATCTGTTGCAATGCATCGATTACAAAATTAATGTTGTGACATTTCATTTATGAAATCTACAATCCAAAATATAACATTAAATTATAGATTTCGAGAAGAATGGATAACTACAATAAGAGAAGAAATTTCGTACTTATATTTCATGGAATAATTAAAAAAAAATTTCATTGATACGTTTATTCATGAATATTTATTTATATTATGTATAATAAATATCTTAATTTTAAATTAAATACAATAAATAAAAGCTTAAAAAGTAATTGCAGACAAAAATTCGATTTTATCAACGATCTTGAAAAGCTGTCAATTAAATTTATTTAATAAAATTCTTCCATACATGAAAATATTTATTAAAACGTTATTTTTCATCAAAATCATACCTTATCTTATTAAAATTCGAATAAATAAATAATAAATCAATTCATCTTTCTATCGTGATTAACATTAAAATTATTAACAAAAACAGTAAATTGAAACACGATCGATAAAGATAATTGCATTACAACTTAAAACTGAAATTTGTTATCTCGTTGAATCACATGAAATAATCAAAACTTTTAATTGTCGATGTTCACTCTCGCGTTAAATCGCAATTCAAGATTATTTTTGAAGTTTGAACACACGTCTTTTGGAAAAAGAGTAAGTAAATACGAACAGGATTTATAAAGAAAATGTAAATTTATATTTTTATCAAATTAGTTAAAAATAAATTCTTCTTTCTTTTGCATTAATAATAAAGATAAACGATTAACTTTTTGTTATAATAAGATGCGAATATTTTTCATAAATACATTCTGAATAACTGCCAGAGAACAACTTTCACTCTCGAAATAGCGTTCATTAATAACTAAATAACTAAATCGAGAGCGAAAATTTTACTCTCAAATCGACTCTCGTTATTTAGATTCAAACCTAAGTGCTCAACACTTAAATTCTAAAGGAAGCGTGGCCTCGACGTTTCGAGTCGAAATTTCCATCCGTCTACCATCATTTCAAGAATTTCAATGCTAATTACAAACGAAAGCAGAAATCACCTCCTCTTCTTTTCGATGAAACTATATCGAGAAAGTTGACATCATCGCGATATTTCACTATGCCACGTTTCAGAACTGTCGATTTTCCAAAACTGGTCGACTGGTCAGAATTAGAGGCGACGTTACTCGCGAACTATGTCACGTGCACACTTTGGACACTGACAACTGTGCTACAAGTTACAGAAATGGCAACATGGCATATATCTCTTATCCCATTTCAAAAGCAGTTATATTTGATGCGCCGTCTCTGGAAAATCGCCGACGTTGAATTGTGTACTCAGAAAAGTGATTCGAAGATGGTATTCTCGAGGGATAGCAAGGCGACAATGTCGATATATATATATATGTATATGTATATGTATGATAATATATTCTCGAAACATCTTTGGAAAATTGATTTTAGAAATCAATTTTTGGAAACAAGTACAAAAATATTGGCCAAAGTTTATTTATCAAGTTTGCATTACGAAGTGAGACATCTTACTGCATTTCGAACTTCAACTGGTTATAGCTTAATAAATATTCCTTTGTATCAACTTTTGCGCTTATTTTTATTAAAGAATGTAGTCCCACGAATGTAATTAACATACAATTTCGTACAAAATTAAATATTCTAAATTCGACTAATTCAAGAAAATTTTTATTAAATAATTAAACAAAGAATATTCAATATTTTCAAAATTTATTTAACGAAAAAGAAGATGGATTATTTTGATGAATCTCATTTAACATTTCATCGTCACAACGTTTTATTATTTTGGAAGATAATGAAATAAATTTAAAATTTACTTGACTTTTATTTGATTTTTCTGTATTTTGTGTATTTTGAAATCAGGTGATCACGAAATCAGTCATATAGGGTAAACAACAAGGAATAAAATTGATTTCTTCCATCTGTATCATTTCAAACATGAATGGTGGAAAATATGGCCACGTTATTGAAATTTATTTCATCATATATCAAATAAATAACAGTGAAGAAATCCTTTTTCTCGTCCATTGAACCGAATAAAACTCCATAAGAAATAAGTCGATGATTTCGATATTCCCATTTTTCATTTCTTCTTCTTCTTCTTCTTGTTTTTTTTTTTTTTTTTAATTAAAACGATTTTTAAAAATCAAGAACCAACCGAATATAATCAACTGGAATAATTAATGGAATAATTAATGACAATGTTCTAAGAATTTCTAAAGATCTCGTACGTGAGAAACATTGGACATGTTTTCTCAATCGATCGTCGTTCGACTTTTTTTCAATCGATTTGACGAAATAAATTAGTCAACGAAAAGTGAAGGATCGTCAATGTGATTGGTTTTAATATAATTAAATAGATTTATATATAATAAAGTGTAAATAAATAAATGTAAGCTTAGAAAAGATATTTGACACGTGTCAAAATTTATTTTAAAGAGAACGGTTTTTTAAAATTGGAAATTACGTATAATATTTTAATATATTATTTCTAATAACGCGTTATTGATAAAGATAAAATTTTATAAGAAAAGAAAACTTATCCTAGTTTTATATTTTACGTATTCATTTTGAATATTTTTATAATAGAAAAAAACTTTAGCATTAATTTTCTCATACGTGATATTCTAATTATGCAAATTATTAGTGAATGTTATTAGAAAATTATAAATGATTCCAATTAATTGCAAATTAAATTTGCAATATTTTTTAAAACTTGGAATTGGTGCAAATCTCCAATGGAATGCAAAAACCATAGAATCAACGCTTTAATTACATTTTTATATATTTATTACGCTGAAATTAGTTCACAAAGTGTGCTTTGTATAATCATACAATTTCCGATCTCTCCTATTTTACTTAACCCAACTTTCCTCACGTACAGATAGATATTTTTCTACGACGATTATATTGCAATATCCCGTCAAAATTGGAAAAGATTCTTGATGATATTCAAAAAGAGGAAAATAATTGCCGATCCTTGCCCAGGCGTGGAAAGGTGCAATTAATTTCCTTGGAGCGATGATGCCGAGCAAGGCGAAGTTCAAACGGTATAACGAAGGGTCCGAGTCGGGTTGTGCAAGTCTGCAAACAAAAGCCGGTAGTTAACGTAATTGTCCCCAGGGATCTTTCGGCCGAGGCAGGCCAAGCTCTGACCGATCTTTGATGCCGAGTAATTAATCGAATGAGTCCGACCGATGGAATCCAATCCAACATCGACTCGTATTCCCCTCCTCCCCTTCTCTCTCATCATTTACTCCCTTTCGTTTTCCCCCAGCTCGCTCCCAGGCATGCCAACATCGTCCCTTTTCACTCTGCGACTCCATTCGTTCCATCCACTTTTTTTAATCACTCGATTCGGTTTACGACACGAAAATTACGAATACGAGGCGTTGTTATTTGACGTGTTATTCTCAGGAATCAAATAAAATTCGAGTTGCGGATTTTTAGGTTAGGTTCTTT